CTTTTCCTCTGACCTACCCACACATCGTAACCATATTCTGGAAGTACTGAAATGTCTTAGACAACACAAGTTATAGGCGAACCTCATTGCCTATCGTCGTTACATTGATGATATATTTTTTATTTGGCAAGGAGATGAAGCATCACTAGAATCTTTTTTGGTACATCTAAATAACAATGACTGGGGGATAAAATTAGTTTCAAAATATAGTACTACCTCAGTGGAGTTCCTAGACCTCCAGATTTATGTGGAAAATGCACAACTTAAAACTTGCACTTTCTTCAAACCGGTGGATGTTAACAGCTACATTGGGGAGAACAGCTGTCACTTCTCCCCATTGTTGTTAAATGCACCCAAAGCACAACTACTCAGGATGAGGAGGAACTGCACGGAGGAAGAAAAATATTGGGAACAATCCCATAAAATCATGAAAGATTTTAGGGAGAAGGGGTATAAAGAACATCTGTTGGAGAAGCCCTTGTAGAAGTCACAGTAAAGGATAGGAAGGACCTAATTAAATAAAACACTAAAAATAAAGAAGAACCACAATCAAACAGGCCTAATATGTGACTTTAACTGCAAAAGTAAAGAATTTAGGAAAATAGTCTCAAAATACTGGCCCATTCTAAGACATGACCCTCTCCTCAATAGTATCCTTCCGGAGCAGCCTAAAATTTATATATAGAGGGGTAAAAAAAAATAAAAAGCACCTTAACATGGAATCACATACCTCCAAAAAGGTCTAATACAGATTTTTTTTAACGAGACAAAAGGGTTTTATGGTTGCGGGTATTGTTGTGCATGTAAGAACTCTAAAAGTAAAAAAAGACTAATAAAAGAATTCTCAAATCCTCAAAAGAAAAAAGTCACATTTAGGATAAACAAATTAATTATATGCCAATCTACGAAGGTCATCTATCTTCTGACATGTCCATGTGGACTTGCCTATGTAGGACGAACAAAAAGAAGCCTACACACTAGAATACAAGAACATATTAGGAATATTAGGAATGGTTTTGAAAAACATAGTGTCTCCCTACATTTTAAAAATAAACACAACCGTGATCCCACCCAGCTAGAGTTCCATGCGATACAGAGGATACTACGAGATTGGAGGGGGGTAGTTTTATCAAGAAAATTGGTCAGAGGAAGATGCAGTGGATTTTTTATTTAAATACCATGCAACCCAATGGTCTTAATGATGATTTCGAGCTATGCCATTTTTTAACTTAGAATATTATTTAGTATTTTATACATATATATTTATAACATATATATTTATATATGTTTCATACAAGCATTTTTTGTATATATATTATTTTTATGTTTCATTATTTATTCTTTTAATTAATTAGCTCTTATACCATCATTATTCCTGGGTATATTTATAACAAGGATCTCTCTACCACTGGCTTATATATATTTTTAAGGTGGATCCCCATTAACACTTATTTCCTAATGCATGTATTGGCACTTTAAATTGGCAATCTAATGCAAAACACTAGATTGCTAAACATAATGTTTTTGTATCAAACATCTTAGTGAATTAGCCTGCAATGGAGGGTTACTAATTTATTTTTCCTCTTCTCCACCCACTCACTGTTTAAATATGTTTACACTGAGCTGGTATATTGTAAACATAAACGGACGTTTTGCACATTTACAAAGGAAGTGCATTAGCCCAATTCCAAGATGGACGCTATGGAACTAACACGCCCAATCCGTGACGTGATAGGGGACATCACGGGTCACATGGGGCGCACTACGATCGGAGCACCAGTAACAGCAACGGATCCAGCTGTACACCATGCGCAGGGCAGCCCTGGGAGCCAATTGGAGGAAAAGTCAGATTTGAAGACCACACAGAAAAAAGAGCAGGGTATTTAAACTACAAACAGCAGCAAGCACATCACTGACTGAGAAAGCTGCCACAGCACAGTGAAACGCATTTCGGCAGGAAGATTGGACATTTCACTTGTATTTTTATACATTTATTGCTTTACTTTTATTTGTAAGTTTTTATATACTTATGATAATAAATGTTGTTTTAAAATTGGAATCCATCTTCCACCTTGCTGCTTAAAGAAGGGTTGTAGCCCCTTAAAGGCACATACACCATTACACTAGGAGCCAGGTCTTGGGCTCCTTATCAGGTGAGAAGCCATTTTTCTTCATATATATGTATTAAATATTTGAAGTTACTACACTAGGGGCTTTTTGTTTCCCCTTTCTTTTCTTATGTATACATAAGGATTTTCTGAGGATAAAAGGATCGATTGGGTACTGTGTCACCATACGTACGCAAACTTCTGAGAGCTGAGCCTATCCTATAGGGCTCTGTTACATGTGAGTGAGACCATATAGATTATTCACTCACTGAATTTATCACAAACGTTACTTGCACCATCTGCACTTTTATTTGTTTCAGATACACTACATTGTGATACGTTCCCTATACATATGTATGTTAACCCACATGGGTGAGTTTGTATATATTTAAGCGCTCCGCGTATACACCAGTGGTGGTGTCTACTATTATTTTCCTACACTGTGTGTACACCTCTTTCTTGTATCGAGTTATAGGGAAGAGAGTCCCTATTTGTAGTGATAGCTGCTATTAATGCTCATTGTATTATTAACTAGAAGCGCCTTGAAGACACACGTTTCCAAGTGCTTTTGTATAAAAATGTTACTGGCTAAACCACAACGACACAACTTGCAATTGCTCCAGTTGGCCGATCACTGGTGCTCACACACAGAGAAATTGTTTACTATGTTGGACACTCCATAGTAAAACATAAAGTTGGCAAAGATTCATGGAAATTCTGGTTCTGGACTCCCGGAAAAATTTTTTTAAATGTTCACAGCGAGCAGAATTTTGTATAATAAATTGGGATGTAAGTGTGGGGAACTTAATTCCAGCTAGCTCTACTTAAATTGCTTTAAGGACCACTGTGGGCTTCATAACAACTTAATTACAATTAAGTTGTTATGGTGTGTGGAGGGTCCGACTTAATAAAATATTTAACCCCAAAGCCTTCAGTCATGAGCCTGAAAGCTCTTCCCCTGTGCTTCTGTTAAATGTCTGAGGTTTTAATCCAGAAGTCTCAGACTGGACACCACTAATGAACTGAGAGCTTCAACTGACACTCTCGGCTGACCGTTAGCTCTCCCCTGAGAAGAAACCGTTAAAGATACTTGCCTTTTTCACTCTCTTTTCTCTCTGGAAGCTACTAATAGGCAAGTAGCTAATAATGCCTTCCAGAAAGCCGGCACCCAGGATTTCCTTGCACCATAACAACCTCATTGCGATATATAATATCTATAATTGTTAATATTTCTCTACGTCTGTGCTGCATTTTATATTTCAAAGTTCTGACTGTTAAATATTACAATTCTCAAATCATACGTTCTGCTGTCAACACCATGCTATGACAAATACTGGAAAGGTGAAATTCTCTTCAATCATCACCTTCGCATTTTGCATGCAAAATTAGATGGTAAAAAAAAAAAATCATTCTTCCTTCCAGGTCCAAAGGTTAGCTAGTACCAACTCTTTTATTTACCACGTAAAAGAAATTGTAATCAAAAAGAAATAAGCTCCCCTGAATTTGAAACTGAGCAAATTTGCAGTAATATGATTACAAAATAACAACCTCCCCAAAAAATAGATATACCAATGGATAATAAACTAAAGATACATAAACTTAAAAGTATTTCTTTTTCTTTTTTTTTTTTTAAATGTGATCTCCAGTATACGCCGGAAAGACTTATTCAGAGGGTTTTTCACTAAAGTCCGAATGGGGCAAACTGCCATTCAGTCTGCATTATCCAGACATTGTTGATGACATCAATAAACGTCCAGATTATGTCATTCAGGCCCGTATTACAGCCAGGCCAAACTCCACCAGATGCCTGAAATCCAGGCCGAATGCAGCAAGTCCAGACACGGAAAATGCGAGCCCGCATTAAAAAAAAAAAAACATATTACCCTCTGGCTGCTAACATTGTTAAAAACCTTCAGAGGCGCAAGCATTAGTTATGTGAAGGCTGGCCTGTGCTTTATTGCCAAATTCCACGTTGAAATAAATATAAATGATAAACGTGTGTGTGTGTGTATATATAATATACTCTCTGTAGAGCATAGGCTTGCGCAGCCTATTGCATTCGGGTGTGCATCCTAAAGCTCAAACACCCTGCGTGTGTATGTATGTATGTATGTATGTTTATATATATATATATATATATATATATATATATGTAAAAAACTGTTAAAATTCGTATCTTGTAATACCTTTTTTTTATTGGACTAACAGAATATTTTAATTACAAGCTTTTGGGAGAACCTCCCTTTCTCATGTCTGAAGCATTTCTGAGCAAGACAACACATAGAATTCAAAGTTGAGTTGTGATACAGGGGTTAACATCACTGGACTAATACGGCTACAATCTCTACTTGAACACTATATATATATATATATATATATATATATATATACACACACACACATACACTGTGTGATGTGTGGGTGAGGGTGTTTGTGTGGGTGCTGTTTGTGTGTGAGGGTGCTGTTTGTGTGCTGTGTGTGAGGGTGCTGGTAGTGGGGTGTGTGTTTGTTAGGGTGCTGTGTGTGTGAGGGTGCTGTTTGTGTGATGTGTGTGTGTGAGGGTGCTTTGTGTGTGTTTGCTGTATGTTTGGAGGGAATGTGGGGGTGGAGATGGGGCAGATTAGTAAATATCCCCCCTCCCTTCTTACCTTATGTAGGGAGGGGGATCCTTGCTGCCATGTGCCTTCCCTGGGAGAGTGAACTCTAACTGCGGGGCTAGAGTTCACTCTCGTGAGATCTGAGCATTGTCGTGGCAACGCTCAGATCTCGCGAGAGGAACCCGTGGAGCTGCTGGCTAGAGCGCCGGATAGTGCTGACTCTGCATGAGCTAACAGGGGAGATCCTGAGATCTTCCCTGCGGGTCTCAATCCACAGGCACACCTGGGCCACCCTGTGCGCACGCCTATACTCGCTCTCTCTCTCTCTCTCTCTCTCTCTCTCTCTCGAGAGAGAGAGAGAGAGAGAGAGAGAGAGAGAGAGAGAGAGAGAGCGAGAGAGAGAGAGAGAGAGACACACAATTTTAAGTCTGGAAGACTTAAAAGCTACTCGTGGCTGCAGGCCTGGATGGTCTCACCAGGGCTGAATTATCCCATGCCAATGGCTAGTTTATATGTGATAATTTTGAGCCAGTGTATAGATATCAAAATAATACAAAAGGAGAATATATTAATCTTTCTCCCTCTTCGTCGTCATTCCCCCCTCTTTGTCATCTTTCTCACTCTTCTGATTTTGTACTGATTTGAACTAAATCTAAATGGCAAAATACTCATGATGAAGGTGTGCTTGCACTCTGAACATCTGGCGTTGTCTCTTTGTCACTTATGTACAATGGGTAGCATGTTCTAATTCAATTTTTTGTTTTGTTTATGAGTTTATTTTTGTTTCTGTCTGTCCTTGGACATTGGTCATTTTCTCTTTCTGGGTATTGTAGGCACTTAGCTCTTGCGTCATATAATCCGATTAATAAAGACCATTTTATTTACTCTTTGCACCATTCTTAACCTTTTCTCAGCTTGGATGTCCTGGCTTTGTCACTATCATTAATTTAATATTAAGATTATCCCCCTTTTTAAGATACAGATCTCTTCGACTCTCATACCTATTGAGTACTGTGCTATGATTTTTTTTTTCCCTTACTGAAAAGGCAGGATTAATGAGTGGAGTGTGTGTGTGTCTTATTGTTTTTCCCCTTGTATAGGGAAGATGTGCCCATAACCAGGAATGTCACAATGTTTGTTAGCGGTTTATGCATGCAGTAACAATGAATTGATCAATGAGTGAATCACACTGCAGGTTGTAGCAATGTCTTATGCTGAAGTCAGTGTTTAACTAGCAGGGAAGCTGATGTGTGAAAACTTCATTAGCAATGAATAAAATGAGATGATATATGCAGAGTCAGCTCACTGCGTGTTACATGCTAATATGGAGACTGTAACATTTTAACTATGAAGAGCAGATTATCTATTCATTGCAGTACAAGGCTTTCTTACTTGAAATGAAGCACTATATAATCTAACCAGCCTAACTTGATTTCTGCAGGTACCCATAGCCAGCAGCTATCCATATTGTGTGCTGAAATCCCAACACACTATTACCCATCCCAAGTGTCCGTTATTTTGGGCCCAAATCCCTCTGTCCCTCTTTTCTACCTTAATGTTCCTCTTTTTTCCAGGACCTACATATTGTTGATGTGTCTGAGTGAATAACATAGCTCCACAGCAATAATATTTACTTGTCTAAATGCTTAGAAATCAGTCTATGAACTTAAATTCTAATTTAGAATAAAAACAATGAATCGAATTTACAAACACATTTTCAGTAAGCAACTTAAAGGGACACGATAGTCACCAAAACAACTTTATTAATTAATCATTTTTGGTGTTTAGATCATACCCCTGCAGTCTCAGTGCTCAATTATCTACCATTTAGGAGTTAAACCACTTTGTTTATGTACCCTAGTCACACCTCCCTCCATGTGACTTGCACAGCCTTCCTAAACACTTCCTATAAAGGGTCATCTAATGTTTATCCTTCCTTTATTACAAATTCTGTTTAACTTGGATTTTCTTATCCAATGCTATGTTGATAGCTTGCTAGACCCTGCAAGAGCCTCTTGTATGTGATTAAAGTAAAATTTACATAGCCAGAGACAAAATTGTTTAAGGTACATTGCATTTGATTGAAAGTGCAACCAGATTTTTTTCATGCAGGCTGTGTCAATCAGAGCCAGGGTCAGTGTGGCAAGGGTGGCATAAACAGAAACAAAGTGATTTAACTCCTGAAGGGCAATGAATTGAGCGGTGAAACTTGAGAGGCATGTTCTATACACTAAAACTGCTTTATTAAGCTAAAGTTGTTTAGGTGACTATAGCGCTCCTTTAAAGTTTCTCAGTACAAGCACACCCACACTCTTAAAATTAAAGTGCTCCTCTCCTCTTTATCCATTTGAAATGTTGGGAGGTAAGTACTGCTTGGTTTTTATAATGTGTAACCAGACATTTGAAAATTGCCCTGGGGTCATCCCCATACGTCTACCCCCACTCCGTTCATCCCCGACACCCCACACATCCCCGTCTCTACACATGCAGACACACACATACATACACTGTCATGTAGACACATACATACATACACGCACATACATACAAACACACATACATACATACATACATACAGAGACACACACATACAGAGACATACATACAGACACACACACATGTAAAATGTTTGTCACGCTCCTGTTTCCTACCTTTTAGATGCAAGAGGGTGGCTTCCCTGGGGTCCAGTTAGGCTAAACCTGATGGGAGTCACAGTTCCCACTCAGACTCCATCTTCTCTTCCTCCTGTGTAGCACCCGGTGGTTGCTGGGAGGAAGTGACAGGGGCCCTAACAGCATGGGCCACCCTATCAGCCCCTTAACGTGCGACCCGGGCAGATCTACCGCGCAGCCAGGGCCGCAACACATGGCGGCGGGCACCCAGTTGCAGGGGTCCGTAGGGCGGCTGGGCCCCCTGGAGTGATGGGCATGCTGCTGTGCAGCTGTGACCCCTGTGACCCCTGAGACCGCAGTAGTTCCACCACTGTACATGGGTATCTATCCCATGTGGTGCTATGTGATCACAGAAATTATGTATCTTCTGTGTTCTGATGCACACCCTCTTATCCTTATCTTCCTGGTGCCTCATTATGACATCATGTATATTGGAATCTTCCATTGGTGTCCTTTTATAATGTCAATGTGTGTGTATATATACTTGTGAGTTGTGAAATCATGGCCCCGTGTAACATCACATCCCAGTACAGGGTATATACCCTTGTTTCTTTGCCAGGTCATGGTCCTTGTTACCAGAGAGTGTGTTTATACTGTGTAATATATATTTACTGTTTTCTGATCTTAGCTTGTTTGACCATTCTTACTCTCTGTTATTATGACCTCAGCCTGACTATCCATTCTGTGTATCTCTGTTATCCTAGATCTTGGCCTGTCTCTCATTTCTTTCCTGTCTGCTGCAGACATTTCATTTATCTGTCTTAGGCACTAACCTGTCCACTCTGAGGACTGGTACATGTCCCATTACTGTCTCCTTTAGGTTTGCATGTTAGGGTATCTCTGTTCCTGACACCACTTTACTGATCTCTGCTGATTAAATGTCTCCTGCTTTCTGAATATGACCTTTTCTTAGTTCTCTAACTGATTGATGCCGAAGACCTACATCTATCCTTTGTCTGTTCTCACACATCTGATGCTCGCCTCCAAGACTTCTCCTCCAGGGCTGCACCTTTCCTGTGGAACTCCCTTCCCTTCTCCATTAGACTTTTACCCAGTCTCCACTCCTTTAAAGAATCTTTGAAAACACATTTCTTCAGGAAAGCATATCATTTAAACTGTTAGCGGGCTTTCATTCCCCCCCCTCCACTCGATGACTCCTCTCATGCAACTGTCAAAAATAACCTTATTCTCAGTGAATACTTTTCTAGCAACCGATTTCATTACCCCTTCATTACCTCACTCCCACTAGCATGTAAGCTCACTGAGCAGGCCCTCAACCCCTCTGTTCCTGTGCATCCATTTGTCTGGTTACCATTATGTGTCTGTTAGTCCACCCATTGTACAGCGCTACGGAATTTGTAGGGTGCTATATAAATAATAAAATAATTATAATAATTGATCTCAGTTCTTAAAAGTTGTCATAGTCTTATTTTAGCTTTGGCAGGGTTGATGGTGTCTGGAGGCTGAATAAGCTCTATGGAGAGTGAGCATTGATAGCCAATGCAGTGCTAACAGACAAAAAGGTAAAATAAATCTGTTTTATGATCTCCCCCTTAGTGATATCTGCTGCTTTTAAATGCCTCCCACTTTCGGCATATGTATTCCTTACTCTCAACTCTTTTAACTCACGGGTTTTGTGTTTCTTCTTATCTCTCTTTGTATAAAACTGAACTGTTACACATTTTAGAAAGTTTGTATCTAATTAGTTTCTTTACATTGTAACTGTGGCAAAGATGCCTCTGCCACGTGTTCCTGGAGGAGCCTGCTGGCTAGCCCCCTGCACAAGGACTATGGACCATGTATTAAGACATGTTAAAAACTTACTTCCATGGAAAATCCGAACCACTGAACCGATCCTAGTGGTTTTTGGACATGATGGTCAATCAGATCAGGGTTATCTGGGGATGTGACTCTTGAGGGGTTTCTGTGAATTTTGGGGGTACTTTTGGGGTGTTTGTGTTTTTCTGTACCTGTAAAGAATTGAGTTTGTACAGTTCCTGACTCAATTATCTCTCAGGCACAGAGGAGTATGTTGAATGTATTGCTTGTATGTGCCTCTCTTACTCACCCTTTTTCCTGTCCATTTGTTTCCCCAGCAGGGCATTGTCCCAGGGACACTGCAAGACCAGTTTAAACTAGCTGTGTTGTCCCTCCTCAATCTCCCATCAGTCCTTGCTATTGTCTCACCCCACCCTTCCTTGTACTACAGTGCTCTATGTACCCTATTGTATGTAAATTAGGCTGTTGGGGGTTAAAATGTGTGTATAAATTTTGAGTGTTTGCCTGCATTAAACAGTCTACTCCCAGCATTAAGCCTCGGCTCATGTGTGGGAGGAATAGCTATACTTGCTATACCTGCTATACTCTCTGAAGGAGAGGTCTATCCACTGGGACCTGGATCCAGAACTTGGTTCCAGGGTGGGTGGAGACGGTGAGACCCCAGCCAAAGTGCGTCGGCTAGGGGATGGAAGTGCTTATGGTACTCGGTGTTTACTAAGAAGCATGAATTGGCAGAGGTACCCAGTCGGGGTACCAGGCGGTACGCCACAGTAACTTTTACTCTCCTTGTCTATATGTGTTTAGAAGGAATGGATTGATCAGTCGTTAACCCCTCCATTCCCTCTTCAGCTGTCGCAAGTGAGGCACATGTGTTTTAGGCTGTGTGCGGCATGAGGCAAGCACTGTGGCTGGGCTGTAGCAGGTTTGGTTAGTAATGCCTCAATGTGATTTTTGTGCA